TTCTCAGAAATTCATCCATAGCATATTAAGTACAGTAGAGAATCATACTAGTGGAAATCAAATTGATTTTAAAACTTCTATACATATAACAAGATGCATCCACACTCAAGAATCCAGTGGTGCTGGCGTTTCTACAATGAAAGGGATTGAAAAGTGGGGCTGAATCCACTTTCCCTGATTTCCTTGACCTGCAGTAGCTTTGATCTGTCTTACCACTGCATTCAATTTCAAATCACTTAACTTCACTGAAGTTATTCAAAGTGGATATGCAAAACCTTACTTTGGAATTGCAAGGGAAATGCTATCATTTATATTTTTGAGTAGATAATATTTTGACCAAACTAATATCACCCCAACCTACCTGGTTGATATTAAGCATGGGTCTAATTTTAAAGAGCGCTATATAGATAAAAGTTCTGCCTTCTGGGGAATTTTGACCCCTCTAATTATGCAGAAGTACAATATTTACTGTGTTGTTAAGGTTAATGACCATGAACGGGTAGTTTAAAAAAAATCATTTAAAAATGTGACCTCTCCAAATTTACTGAAAAGTAATTTACCAATAAGGTCGAAAAGTTAAAGGAAGGGTAAATTGAATTAAAATAAACTAAAAATCCAATGGAATCAAATATTGCTACTAAGCCAAATTTGCTATTAGGGATCAATTAATGTAAGTAATTATTACCTAAAGATATGTCTGTAGCACTGTTTAGAGAAAGATCATAGCAATTTCCTGATATGCTTGCTGCATTTATGATTATCACAGCAGTGAAAAAATCATATAAAATCAAAAGTTGTATGCTCATTAGGCAGTTTGAAAAGATATTTAATTCTTCCATGCTACAGTTGCATATGCAAAGAAATTAAATATTATCATTTTTCAATAATAATGATTAAAGTAAACACTGGCTAAAAGAACACAGTTATAGAAACCTTACTGGATGATATTTTGGGTGGATCCCTCTTTTAGTATTATGATACATTATAGTCAGCCTGTCTCTTTCTTTTGACTGGTAGCAACTTGAGGGCAAGGAGTGGTGTTGATTCTTATCCCTTAGTCCCAGGAGCCTAACAAAATGTCTGGCACACAGAAAGCATTTGAACCTAATTGGAATACATGAGTAATATTATCATGTAGAGGTAGAAGTACACGGGGAGAAATATCTCCATTAATAAGCAGAGAACTCTGGATAAAGCATTTGGCTGAAACTTCTTCAAAGCAGCTAATCACAAAAACCCATAATCTCACTGATTCATCCAAGTTTTGGTACCGGGGATCAAACTCAGTTCCTTGTGCTTGCAAGGCAGGCGATGGAACCACTAAGCTAAATCCCCGGCCCTCATGTGAGTTGATACTTGGCCAAATAAATGGATTCTTGGAATTAATTAATTAATACCAATACACAAGCCAGTTAGGGCCCACTCGGGGATTTTCTCAAATGTGTATTTCAATATGGAGACCATAAGCTTATCTTTCCTGCAAGGAGGGACAGTTGACCGTCTACCAAATTAAGTCTCACAACAAACCAAAATTCTTAAAATACTTTTTGAGGCTTAAAACTCCACATACAGAGCCAGGCATACTGGCAATGTGCCTATAGTCCCAGCTATTCTGGAGGCAGACTACAGAGGATCACTTCAACCCAGTAATCAGAGACCTGGACAACTTAGGGAGACCCTGTCACATAAAATAAAATAAAATTTCACATTCCCAGCAAGGGAAACAAAAGGATGAACTTCTTGTGGCCTAAGATTATAATATAAATATAACAAAATATATCCTTCACCTAAATTGCTCATTTCAATAATATTTTCATCCCTTCCAGATCCTACCTGTCTCCCACTCAATACAAGGTAATAATATTATAAATCTACTACCTGCGTACTTCCCTAAACAATGTGAGAATAAAATCATGATATGGAAAATCAATGTAGAACAAGTTTCTCTGGGAATCTGTATCAAATTAATTATTGTGAGAAAGGGGCTAGCAATATATCAGTAGTATGAGTAGGTGTTATTACCAACATAACTATTGACTATACTGCCCTGAGCTCCAGGCATTGTTGAAAGTTTTATGTAAACACCAATCCTGACTACACTTTTACTTACTTCCTTTTAGCACTTATATTTTACCTGAATATCAAACAATAGCAAATCCTATTATTTTTATCCACTTTGATTATTATTCTTGAGGTTCTTATAGCTTTTCATGGCATATTGGCTTTTGTTAGTGTGGGTAAACAAATCCTTTCCAAGTCCAGGAACTTGTTTTCAAATTCCATCCAAATAAAAAGGAGGTAAAAGAGAAAAATTCAGTTTTTAACAAATCTACAGAGACTGATTATATACAGAAAATGAAAAGACTACATACAACTTAGTGAAGTAATCAATTTTTTTCTAATGAATTTATATTTCTAATGGGTATGCACAATTGAAATGCTAATTTAAAACTTTTATTAAAATTATAAATACTAGTTGTTAAATGCAGTAAAAAACTTAAAGTTTCTAAAAAGAAATGATTTCGGATTGTGGAATTTGAATTGTCTCATTAAATCAATGGAAATTATTTTAAGCATTAAATTATCCTGTCATTTTATACAAACCATTGTAACTGCTTGAAAAGCTACATACATTTTACCTTTTGTGGCATATTTATAAAAGTCTAACAATTTCCTTCAAATCTGTACCTAAATACAGTAAGAATTTAGCAGCAGCATACTTATGACAACTGATATTTTGTAGCTAAATGAAGTGTAGGATGTAGCATGAACCATTCTCTAAGTTGTATTTTGTATTAACTACGTAGACATTATAATTTGACTTTTAATATCACAAGCCAACTCAAAAATAAAATCTCCAAATTTATAGTCAACGAACTTAAAATTAGTGCATACAAGTTATAATAAACTAATTTTTACAATCAACATTAAATTAAAACTACACTAATTAAGATTAGTGAATGGAAACCAGTGTCTATTTCCTGATCTGGAGTGGGTTACATTATTTAAACAATACAGCCACTACTACAAGCAAGTTTTATTTTGTTGGGTTTGGGGCTTCATGGATCCTGCTTACTAAATAGGCTTATATTTAAAATAAAACAAAAACAAATAAAAATTCCCCAAATTAAAAAATCCACTGACAGTGCCACTAGAATACGACATTATTTTAAAACTCTCTTTCTTGGCTTTGTCTATTTTAGTAGAAAGGAATAAGAATTCTGTAAGTGCTCATCCGTCTTACAACTGAGCCCCAGCAAAGGTCTCCATCCACTTCAGCTGTGGAAACAGCCCGGGTTAATTTGCATTCACCAGCGTACATATAGACTCCCCATCTGTGGTCTCCAGGCATGGGAGAAACTGGGCTACTTTTAAATTTAATTTTAGCTATACAGAACGGCTAAGTATCACTTAATCTGGTGCTGAAGAATGTTTCTAAAATTATTTTTTTCTTATTCATGAACGTGTCATTTCCAGTGGCTATCAATTTCTACTCATATCAAACAAACAAAAGCAACTGACTATTAGAAATGTCTGGGAAATGGCAAGATATTATAGAATCAATTGAATAAAATGACAAACCCGTGTGTGAGTGTGTGTGTGTGTGTGTGTGTGTGTGTGTACACAGACAAACCACTTAGAAATTCCTTGGTAGCACTCTTTTTCATTTCAGGCCTCCCTCAATTTTATGAAATACCATACTAGGGAGCAGGAAGTTCCTAGGCAAATATCCTTATCTTTGTGACTTTAGATAGTGACAGACAAATCCACATTTAACAATTTCATCATATTAGACATTTAAAATAAATTTAAGATAATTTTATGAATTTTCAAAAAGCATATTTCTTTAAAATGTGGAAATGATAATAAGGAAAAGATTTAAGATAGATTAACAGGTAAAGGCAGAATGCACACAATGTATTGTGTATTTTATGCAGACTACTAACCAGTGACACACTGTAGTAACAAAATTATTCTTAGTAAATTTTTGACATTGTCAACTAAAATTGGTTGATCAGCCTACATAGAATATATTAATAAAATAATTTGGAAATATCTGATGATATATATAGCAAGGTTTTTTTCCCCATCCTAGATTAAACTATTTTTTTATTAAATTATCGGTTTGACTTTTGCTGTTTAAAATATTAAGAAGATTCCTCTATGAGAAAATAAAAACAAAGGTTTGGAGACCTTTTACATCGTACTTTTTGGTTATATAAGATTCCTTTAAGATCCTATTTTCTTTATTTCTGCTCCCTACACCACTCTCTCTCCCTCTCCCTCACTTCCTAGCTTGCTCTCTCTGTCTCATTTGACAGGCAAATTTGCAGACATTGCCGCAGGATAACAACCTCGTTTGACAGTCAATTAACCGTGAATAGTCAAAGCCAAGGCAGTTTGCATTACATAAATGGAAAATTAGATTCCTTTTTCCCAAGAAACAAAACCCTTTCCTTAAGACACTGCAATAGACAACTTAGTATCAAAACTTCTAATCACGTCTTTCCCAAACCCCTTGGAGACATTTAGCAATCAGTAAAAGGTGGTTTCATTTAATTTGTATAATGTAATTTTTGTAAATGTATTATACATTTTGTGTAGAGATCATTATCATGGAGATAATATAAATGTTGGCATAGATGTCATAAAACACCTTTAATGTCTTTCTGACAGATATTAAAAGCAATAAGCTGTGATCCTTTTTAATGGAAGGTTTCTAAGAGAACATTTCAATTATTGTCATTTTATGCTTTTCCAGCCTGTTTCATTGTGTAACCTGATATATTTCTGAATTTTCTTCTGAAATATGCTCAGCAATTAATAATCTTATTGCTATTAATGTCACTGCTTTCCCATTTCTGTTTTTCTTAGTTATATCTACTAGGAATTGTTTTTTTTATCTTTACCCTTGTACTAAACATTCAGTCTTTTGATTATGAATTTCAGCCCCTCTCTGTCATCTGACTATTCATTCCTCTTATCTGCTCCCAGCCTACCTGATCTGTCTCTCCAAAAATCTCCTCCAGAAGCTTCGGAGTCTGTGATGAAAAAGCTATGCTCCTTGTTCTTATCTAGAACCAAAACAAAGGACAAAATCTACAAGTGATCAGATTGACAAATAGGATAGAAAAGCATTCAAGAACTGGGGAGGAGATTCTACTGATTATACATAAATTTTAGAGTGATTAATTCTAGAAGAAATAATCCAAGGCTCTAAAAAATGTGGCAATTCAGAGAGGACAAAGGCATCCAATAACTGTAATGTGTTTGTTTAGAGGGCTGACATTATTTAAATATAAAAGGTATGCTGAGCTGGGGGACAGTGGTTATATTATTTGGAAAGTTGCCATAGCTTGGTAACTACAGAAATGCTGATCTTCCAAATATAATCTTATCTTTTTTTTCAGTAAAAAGCCTAAAAGTCAGTGGATGAAAACTCACAGAATGGTGGTGAGTGGGAGAGTGGGGAGGCTGGGTGTAAGTATCACAGAAATAGTTGAATGCAGGAACGATAAGTAGTGCTTCATTTTTCTTTTACCTGAAAAGCTGCTGTCATCCTTTGCAGACACAACAACTTGGTTATTTTCCTTAGTTTTCTGATTCTGTGTGGAGAAGAATTAGACACACAAATCAATGCCTGGATCAAACCATATGCTAATGTCAACAGTCAGCAGGAAGAAGCATCAATAAAAGTGACTCCACGGGGCCCCAGGAGACATCATTTTTTGATGATTATCTTCTCTGAATAGTTTCCTACATAACTATGTGCCTATGTCTACATGTACTTGCACTATCTTTTAAGAAATAATTTAGATTAATTAAATATATGCATACAATAGCCCCCGTAAATAAACACACCATGTTATTTGTCAAATTTACACTGTCTTGGGACAGATTCACTTCTCTCGGAAGTCCTTGAGTGTGTTTGCTATGCACACTTCAGTGAACACTGATACTGAATGCTGATACTGAATGAAATTTAACTTTGGTCTTTTAGGGGTCCCACATAGTACTTTCCAGTGAGTGGAGATTGGTTTTGAAGAAGGGAGTCCTGTTCAAGATTCTATCTTGTCTTTTGTTTTATAGGACACATCTTAAAATGTGTCTATCCCGGCTAAACCATGACTTGAATGATCAAAATAAAACTGAATTCAACTTTTAAAGTCAACGTGTTTCCAAGTTGTTGTTGTTGTTGTTGTTTTGGGTCATGGCTGGAGGAGGCTCTGAACTATAGAGAAGAAAAGGGATTCCATTATTCCAATTGCTCAACTGTGGTGTCAGTGCTTTTGGGGAAAACAGATGTGCTGAGCTGGGGACAGTGGGGATTGTTGGATTAGAGGAAGGACTACTTTCACTAAGGGATCTTTTCTAACTTCTACAAACAGCCAATTTAAGAGGGAAGGGAGGCCCCAAAGCCTTGAAAGCCTTTATTAGAAAGAGACCAGAAACCACATTTTTATGGAGGACCATGGCAGGAAAGAAGCCCTCCCAAACACACTGAATATTTCATTTCTGTGGGGAAATCTGGTGATTCATCTTTCCGGCGCATTTGTAACTGATTCTGCCTAAAGGTACATTTAAATAATAATAATTAGCTTGAAGGAGCCTAAAGGGGATATTTACATCTTTGTAGGAGGGCTGCTCCTCCAGTGATGGATGGTGGACTGGGCTGCCCGGGCTGCTGCTGCCGCCACCGCTCGCTTTCTGGGGGGCAAGAGGAGGGGGTGGGGGAGGAGGCAGGTCCGAGCTGCCAGGGTCCCCCAGTTTTCCATCTTCTTGCAGCAGCCTGGAGTTGTTCAGGGTGAGCGGAAAAGCGCCCGCGGCGGTGGGCGCGCGATCCCGGCTGCTCCCTTTCTCTGACAGGCCTCGGCCCTGGAGGAACCGGCCGCCGCCCACTAAGGGGTCCCGCAGTAAGACCCCCGTCTCCTCGTCTTCCTCCTCATCTTCCTCGGGGTCTCGACCTTCCTCCTCCTCCTCCTCGCCCTCTGGGGGCTTGTGGCCCTCCACGTCCACCTCCTGCTCTTCCTCCTCGTCGTCCTCCTCCTCAGAGCTGTCCTCGCTGGGGTAGCTGCAGCTGGTGCCCCCAGGGGACAGAAGGCCTCGGTGGTGCGGCTGCGGGGCCAGCGGCGGTG